GTGAGTGGATGGGTGGGTGAGTGGATGGGTGAGTGAGTGGATGGGTGAGTGAGTGGGTGAGTGAGAGAGTGGGTGGGTGAGAGAGTAGGTGGGTGAGTGGGTGGGTGGGTGAGTGGATGGGTGAGTGAGTGGATGGGTGAGTGAGTGGGTGAGTGAGAGAGTGGATGGGTGAGTGAGTGGGTGAGTGAGAGAGTGGGTGGGTGAGTGGGTGGGTGAGTGGGTGATGAGAGAGTGGGTGGGTGAGAGAGTGGGTGGGTGAGAGAGTGGGTGGGTGAGAGAGTGGGTGGTGAGTAAGTGGGTGGGTGAGTGGTGGGTGAGTAAGTGGGTGAGTGAGTGGGTGGGTGAGTAAGTGGGTGGGTGAGTGGGTGGGTGAGTGAGTGGGTGAGTGAGAGAGTGGGTGGGTGAGTAAGTGGGTGGGTGAGTGGGTGGGTGAGTGGGTGAGTGAGAGAGTGGTTGAGCAAGTGGATGGGTGAGTGAGCGAGTGAGTGAGTGGATGGGCGAGTAAGTGGGTGAGCGAGTGAGCAAGCATCTCACAGTTTGCTGTCCACCCTGTAGGCAACGTCCAGGAGCTGTGAGCTGCTGCTGGTGGCGACGTCCACTTGAGCGTCGTGGTCCCAGCGGAGTTGCGTCAGCAGGTCGCGAGACTCCACGCGGACATTCAGAGGGGGAGTCGCAGCTGCGGAGATGGGCAGTGTGCGCTAACCACTGCACCACCGCTCCCCACACACACACAGTGCGCTAACCACTGCACCACCGCTCCCCACACACACACACAGTGCGCTAACCACTGCACCACCGCTCCCCACACACACACACAGTGCGCTAACCACTGCACCACCGCTCCCCACACACACACAGTGCGCTAACCACTGCACCACCGCTCCCCACACACACACAGTGCGCTAACCACTGCACCACCGCTCCCCACACACACACACAGTGCGCTAACCACTGCACCACCGCTCCCCACACACACACACAGTGCGCTAACCACTGCACCACCGCTCCCCACACACACACACAGTGCGCTAACCACTGCACCACCGCTCCCCACACACACACAGTGCGCTAACCACTGCACCACCACTCCCCCCACACACACACAGTGCGCTAACCACTGCACCACCGCTCCCCACACACACACACAGTGCGCTAACCACTGCACCACCCGCTCCCCCCACACACACACACAGTGCGCTAACCACTGCACCACCGCTCCCCCCCCACACACACACAGTGCGCTAACCACTGCACCACCGCTCCCCACACACACACAGTGCGCTAACCACTGCACCACCGCTCCCCCCCCCCCCACACACACACACAGTGCGCTAACCACTGCACCACCGCTCCCCACACACACACAGTGCGCTAACCACTGCACCACCGCTCCCCCCCCCCCCCCACACACACACACAGTGCGCTAACCACTGCACCACCACTCCCCACACACACACAGTGCGCTAACCACTGCACCACCGCTCCCCACACACACACAGTGCGCTAACCACTTCACCACCGCTCCCCACACACACACACACAGTGCGCTAACCACTGCACCACCGCTCCCCACACACACACAGTGCGCTAACCACTTCACCACCGCTCCCCACGTCCACCACACCCTGGTACCCGATGTATCAACTACCTCTGGCTGGGCTCACCGTGTGTGCACGTGACGAGGTGGAGGACGGAGAGGAAGAGTAGGCCAAGTCTCGAGAAGAGTTCTCGCACCGCCATGACACCCACCTGGGACCCACGTGTTTCCGTTTCTCAAGTCACGTGGTGCAGAGAAATTCGATTCCCGGTTCGATTATCTCCATTTGCGTCGATTCTTAATGGGATAACATTAGGAATCGATTCTTGTAGTGAATTTATAGAGTCGATTTCCGTTGAGATAACATGGGAATAGACTATCGTGGGTGTGTGTGCATGTGTGTGTGTCTAAAGTCGATGTCTGCGTGTGTGTACTTGTGTGTAAGTCGATGTCTGTGTGTACTTGTGTGTGTGTGTTCATGTGTGTGTATCTAAAGTCGATGTCTGTGTGTACTTGTGTGTGTGTGAGTCCATGTGTGTGTATCTAAAGTCGATGTCTGTGTGTACTTGTGTGTGTGAGAGTCCATGTGTGTGTATCTAAAGTCGATGTCTGTGTGTGTAAGTTTGTATGTGTGTAAGTTGATGTCTGTATGTGTGTACTTGTGTGTGTGAGTCCATGTGTGTGTATCTAAAGTCGATGTCTGTACGTTTGTATGTGTGTGTAAGTTGATGTCTGTATGTGTGTACTTGTGTGTGTGAGTCCATGTGTGTGTATCTCAAGTCGATGTCTGTGTGTGTGTACTTGTGTGTGTGTGTGAGCCCAGCCACCGCATGCCTAAACAGCTTTTGTTCGGCCGGATCGAGGGGGCTAGACGGGCGCGGCACGGGCTGGAGAAGAGATGGAGTGATGTGGTACAGGAGGACGTGGAGCTGAGTGGACTTGCCGATGACTGGTACCAGCGGTGTCAAGATCGGCCTCAGTGGAGGAGGCTCGTGAAGGACGCTACTGGGCAGTTGGAGGCAGTCGCCCTCCAACAACAACGGAGGGCGGAGGAGCGACGCTCACAACAACGAGCGGAGCGCCGGGTGGCTAAAGCACAGCAAGTTGGCACAGTAGGGGGCACAGGTGGTGCATCAGCCAGTCATCTCGGTCAGTCGACCAGTGGCACCTGGGTCTGCCCCGTGACCTCCTGCCAGCGGGCTTTCGACACTTCACGTGGCCTCAAGGTGCACTTGGCCTGGCACAAGCATCGTGGTGACGTCACCGCCACTTAGTGGCGAATGGCGGTTGTTGTTGTTGTTGTGTGTAAGTCGATGTCTGTGTGTGTGTACTTGTGTGTGTGTGTACTTGTGTGTGTGTGTAAGTCGATGTCTGTGTGTGTAAGTCGATGTCTGTGTGTGTGTACTTGTGTGTGTGTGTACTTGTGTGTGTGTGTGTAAGTCGATGTCTGTGTGTGTAAGTCGATGTCTGTGTGTGTGTACTTGTGTGTGTGTGTGTAAGTCGATGTCTGTGTGGTGTACTTGTGTGTGTATAAGTCGATGTCTGTGTGTGTGTACTTGTGTGTGTGTGTAAGTCGATGTCTGTGTGTGTGTACTTGTGTGTGTGTAAGTCGATGTCTGTGTGTGTGTGTACTTGTGTGTGTGTGTAAGTCGATGTCTGTGTGTGTGTACTTGTGTGTGTGTGTCACTCCATCTCGGTCAGTCGACCCGTGGCACCTGCTGGGTCTGCCCCGTGACCTCCTCCTGCCAGCGGGCGTTCGACACTTCACGTGGTGGCCTCAAGGTGCACGTGGCCTGGCACAAGCGTCGTGGTGACGTCACCGCCACTTAGTGGCGAATGGCGGTTGTGTGTGTGTGCGTACAACGAGCGGAGCGCCGGGTGGCTAAAGCACAGCAAGTTGGCACAGTAGGGGGCACAGGTGGTGCATCAGCCAGTCATCTCGGTCATGTCGAAGTGTGCGGTGCAGGGCTCTGTCTGGGACAAGTGTCTGCGGACACGCCTGGCTTGAAGCGATTGCATTCAGAGCCTTGACCCTCCAGCGAGGTAACTGAACGCCGGTTGCGAGTGCACACATCGCCGAGCCACTACGGTGCAGCTGCCGTGCGCATCGAGGCATTCCGGCAAAGCGACTGAACCCTCGACAGAGCGCGACGTGCAGAGCAGATTGTCAGCACCACCACCGACGATGATGTCAATGATTCATCGCGGACAGATCGCAGAGTGAAGTGCGCTTCTCATAAAGACGTCAATAACGCAGCTTAAAGTTTGCACAAATGTCTTTTATTACAAAGTAGTACAAGACGAGAGACCGAGAGTGTGTAGTGACTCCGTCCTAGCGGCTGGCGCCGCCGCCGCCGGCCCAGGCGATGCATCGCCGGCGCCGCACCAGCCGCACGGTGCGCGTCAGGACGGCCGTCTGCTCGGCGCTTGCCAGGCCGGCGGCCGCCAGCGCCGTGTGTTGCTCACGCGCCAGTCGGAGCAGCGCCGTCAGGAGCCTGCCAGAGAGGGGGGGGGGGGGGGGCGGTCACGTCAGCGTCGTCACGCACGGAGCGCTCCACACGCACGGCACTGGCACACGCGCACCGACTCGCACAAACACTAGCGCACACACGCACACACACACGGCACTGACACACGCACCGACTCGCACGCAAACACAAGCGCACACACGCAAACACACACACACGCAAACACACACACACAAACACACACACGCAAACACACACACGCAAACACACACACGCAAACACACACGGCACTGACACACGCACCGACTCGCACACAAACACAAGCGCACACACACAAACACACACACACGCAAACACACACACACAAACACACACACGCAAACACACACGCAAACGCACACACACACACACGCAAACACACACACACGCAAACACACACGCACACACGCAAACACACACATGCAAACACACACACACGTAAACACACACACACACGCAAACACACATACACGCACGGCACTGACACACGCACCGACTCACATGCAAACACAAGCGCACACCCGCACACACACACAAACACACGCAAACACAAGCGCACACAAACACACACCCGCACACACACACACCCACAAAGATCCCCCGTGTAGCCTTAACAGACTGTTGGGGCGAGTGCTGTTAGCGAACGACACGCGAGGGGGTGGGTCTCTGTGTGGTGAGTCTGTGGGTCTCTGTGTGGTGAGTCCGTGGGTCTCTGTGTGGTGAGTCTGTGGGTCTCTGTGTGGTGAGTCTGTGGGTCTCTGTGTGGTGAGTCTGTGGGTCTCTGTGTGGTGAGTCTGTGTGGTGAGTCTGTGTGTTGAGTCTGTGGGTCTCTGTGTGGTGAGTCTGTGGGTCTCTGTGTGGTGAGTCTGTGGGTCTCTGTGTGGTGAGTCTGTGTGGTGAGTCTGTGTGGTGAGTCTATGGGTCTCTGTGTGGTGAGTCCGTGGGTCTCTGTGTGGTGAGTCTGTGGGTCTCTGTGTGGTGAGTCTGTGGGTCTCTGTGTGGTGAGTCTGTGTGGTGAGTCTGTGTGGTGAGTCTATGGGTCTCTGTGTGGTGAGTCTATGGGTCTCTGTGTGGTGAGTCTGTGGGTCTCTGTGTGGTGAGTCTCACCTCTCCGTTTCCTGACGCTCCGCCTCGCGCAGCATGGCAAACTGCTCGGCTTGCCGAACTCGCCGACGCAGCTCCGTCTCCTCCCCCTCCCGCTCGCCGCCGGGCGCCACCACCGCCGGCTGTCGGGCGGGACCCACGGCCGCGATGGCGCCGTCTAAGGGCGGCGCCCGGAGCCGGTCGGCGTTGTCGGCGGGTTCCGTGGCGCGCTGCTGCTGTTGCTGTTGCTGCTGCTGTTGCTGCTGCTGCTGCCGTAACTGCTCCACCACCGCCAGCATCTCCGGCCTGGTCAAGGTGAGGCACCGGCGCCGGTGATGACGACGGCGCTGAGGGAGGGGGGGGGGGGGGGGGGGGGCGGGAGGGTTAGAACGGGGCGCCGTGTCGCGGGCGCCCACCAGGGCCGCCGCTCGCGTCGCGGTCGAAGCGTCGCGCTTCTGTGATTCTCTCCGAACCCGCCGCCGCCGACGCGACTTCTTCACCCAAAGACCCGAGAACGTCAATTCTTGCCGCGTCCACGAAACCTTCGGGACGAGATCCCCCCCCCCCCCCCCCCGCGGTGCGTCTCTCTCACCTGAGCGGCGACGCCGTCCGGGTTGGCTGCCGTGGCCGCCGCCGGCGCCACCCGGCGCGGCTCCTCCGGGTCGCGCCGGGGCTCCTCCTGCGGCTGCTGGCGCCGCGGTTGCGGCAAGACGACGCAGCGCGGCACCACCAGGCAGCGGCGCCGCAGTTGCCGCGGCGTGGGGAGGCCGAGGTGGTGGCCCTGGAGGTGGGGCCCCGGGTAGCGGCGGGCGCCGTCGCTCGTGTCCGTGGGCTGACGGCGAAGCCGAGGGGAGGGGGGGGGCACAACAACAACAACAAGAGGCTGTCACTCTCTAAACTAGCGCTGGGCGATTTGGGGGGAAATACCTAATTGAGATTTTTCTGACAGATATTGCGATTTGATTTGATATAAAACAATTTGTTCAAGTCAAGCTTCAGTTCAATATTCACTGTGTAATAGATTTACAACGTGTGATGTGGCATTGCCACATGATACCGTCAACATATGAACTGATACATATATTCTAATGGAAGGATGAGAACTTAAAAATATATGAATTGCTTCCAACATGTATTTATAAAAAAAAATTTAATAGAACAATCAAACATAGAACAATTGTGAAGTGAAATCAATAAAGTTATAATAATAAGTAAGAAAACAATTCCAATAAGTAATCGGCATTTTACAAATCGCAAAAAAAATCGATTTCCTAATCGCATTGCTTCAAATTGCGATTTCAAATTGATTAATCGTTCAGTCCTACTCTATACCAGTGGCTCTTAACCTCAGAAGAGGGGCATCTTGCACAGCCCCAGGTTAAGAACCACTGCACTAAACGCTTTGTTCCCAAATATGCTATTAGGGGAAACCTCAAGGACCCGGAGAAAAATCCACGCAAGCACGGGGAGAGATGCGTCTCTCTCCTCACTCTACACGAGACACACGGGAGGAGGGGAGGGGGGTAAAGACGTGTCGCTCACCACCACACAGCCAGGCAGTGGTTCACTAGTCCCCACAATCAGCACTACCAGGCTGGGGCCTGCTTGGCTTGTGAGACACACGGGGGGAGGAGGAGAGGGGGTAGAGACGTGATGCTCACCTGATCGGCATCCACCTGGCCGGGCACGTCTGCCATGATGTCTTCTGTGGTCTCCTGCGAGCTCATCTTGGTGTTCTCTACACAGACAGTACATACAATGGCCGTGA